TTTTTTTTTTTTCGGTTTTGCAGTGCGGGCATGGAGGATTCGGCGGCGCGTTTGTCTACTGCGTTAGACGTTGTACCGTCTCGCTCGAGAGAAAAACGAAAAAAAAAAATTAAACGCTCAAGAAAAGAAAAAAAAAAAAACAACCGGACGAACGAAACGTAATATTATTGTTTTACTATTACACGACGTTTAATGTACACGGGTCGAGAGAAGATTGTCAGAACATAGGTATATTGTTATCGTATTAACGTTAATATTATTTTGTCGACGCGGGGGTCACGGAGTCCCGGCGCCCGATAAGAAAACGCGGTTTTCGTTTTCCTCGCCAATCCGACCGGGGACGGCCGGCCGCGCGCCCGGGGGCGTTCACGCGGCGTCCTCGCCCCGGTGAGGCAGGTACGTGACGTTCTCCCGGAGCACGAACGGCCAGTCTTTGCCGTTACCGCCGCACGGCGGCTCGGCGCGCTTGCCGCCGCCGCCGACGCCACTGCCCGACCGTCATGACGCGGCGGCGGGCGCGTAGCCGAGGTTCTTGCGCTGCAGGAACAGGTGGATCTCGCGGAACGTGGGCCGCTCCGACTCTTGCCGTTTCCAGCACTCGCGCATCAGGTCGTAAATGTCCCGGCTGCACGCGGGCCGGGACAGGTACTCGAACAGACCGTCGTCCGCGTGCATGCGCGACAGGTTTTCCACCACCTGCCGGTCCGGGAACCCCTCGTACGGCCGCGACTTGGCCAGATGAAGGATCTCCCACAGGGTGACGGCGAACGACCAGACGTCGCTCTTGGTCGAATATTTGTCCTGCAACAACGACATTGGTATCAGGCCGCGCCGACGCGGCAGTTTCGCGACGCATTACGTGGCCGCGCAGGGGAGCTAAGCGCAGGCCACGGCACGCTCCTTCCCCGACGGGCCGCGTTTACGCCGCTCCGAAAACAACAACTGCACGGCCGTTTATTAACAGATTGGAACGAACGCCGTATCAGGAAAGTGGACCTATCGGGTTTGATGGCCATAGTATGAATAAAAACGAGAAATTATAAACGAAAATGATTTTCAAACATTTTCATTTGAATAGGACTAAAATGCACATTGAAGAAAATATTTGTATATATTATTTTTTCGGACCCCCCCCTCCCCCCGACCCACAATCATGATTCAAGCCGAAACGCATTAAGCCTCCCCCCCAAAAAACGCCGGCTACGTCATGGTTAATATAATACATGTTCGACATTTACCAAGAAGGCCGATTCCCAGGCCATCCATCTGACGGGCAGTCCGAGCTTGCCGTCCAGTTTGTAATAGTCGGCCGAGTACGCTTCGTTGTCCGTGCCGAAATCGCTGATTTTCACTTTGTACGCCTTGCCCACCAAACAGTTTCTGCGCAGCGAAAAAAAACGCCACGTGATAACGATTGGTTTTTTTTTCTTAAAAAAAATTAAATAACATAAATAATTTTAAAAAAACGCGGTTTACCTGGTGGCCAAATCGCGGTGGACGAAGTTCAACGATTCCAAGTAACGCATTCCGGACGCTATTTGCGTGGCCAGGTACAGCAGACACTGGAAGCTGCAGAAAATAACGACAAATTAATATGCATACGTTTATCATACGTGTAATAAATGGCGTAATCGTGAACGGGGTAAGCGAGTGTCGAATCCTCTTCTTGAGCATTTTTTTTTTTCTAATTTAATTTTTTATGTACTTTACCCGTATCGGCTACAGCGAACACAAAAACTTTCTCTATTTTAAAGATGAACAAAACATACTTGCGGAACACGGTGTACACGATTTTTAATCGAAAACTACAAACATCACATACCTAATAACGGCAATTACTAAATATTTTGTTCATTCAAATCGATTTGGTGAGGTCCGGCTATGGCGGCGGTCCATAGAAACGCACCGACAGACCGAGAGTACGCAGGTAATTAAAGAAAACGGTGGTTCAAAGGCCAAAACGAGTAGATATGACATCATAAATTGTATAATTTGTTATCTTTTTCTTCGTCTTTCTTCCGATTACATTTTAATTGCTTTGTTAAAATGTAAGACAATATTATAATACTCGTGATGATCTTATTTTTCCGTACCTTACCACTTCAAGCCTTAGCCAATAAGTCCATACCCCCACCCCGCCTTCTATAAATCTATCGACAATTTCCCGTCTCCACCCGCGAGATCCAGCCCGACTTGTGCCGCTGCACGCAATGTACATAATGTGCGGTGCATGAAGTACGTACCTGAGGGTTTTCACAGACGGCGGCAGGTTTCGGGACGCCTCGACAGGCACGTGCATTTTGAGGAACTGATTGAGGTCACCGTGCTCGCAATACTCCATGACCACGCACAGGGGCGGTTCGACCGAGCATACGCCCAGCACTCTGGCGATATTCTGGTCCTCGAGACCGGCCAAAATCCTTACGTCGTTTTGTAACTCGGCCCTGCGAAACGCGGTAATGTTAGGCGCGAAGTTCGGTTGTCGGAGACTCGTTTATCGCTCGGGACTTACCTGTCTTTTTCGGATAGCGCGGGTGAGAAGAATTTCACGGCCACCAGCCGTTTGCCCAGAGTCATGTTGGTGTTGTATTCGTTAATGCCGTCAGCTTCGGCCACGTAAATCTAAAAATACGAGCAGAACACAAACGTAAATTATTACTACCTTTTTATTCGAAATCGAGATCACCGCGAGTTCGATTACAAAACAATGTACCCGGTGACATTTTTTTCAGACAAAGTTAACCGAATTTCATCGATTTCATAGATAATAGTATAATAATACTCGGGGCGCCGAGACGCGTCCGTTTGTCCCGTTATCTATCAGCTATTCGATAGGAGTAAACAGAACGATTTTTTTTTTTTTATTGCGGAATTTCGGCCGAGACGTACAGAACGAAATATAATATTTGCTTAAAAAACTAGTTTACGGAGGCAAATGCCTCCGTATTATTGTACGTTGCGTATAACGGCTTACCGCTCCGTAATTGCCCTCGCTGAGTTTGGACAACATACGCAGACGGTGCCGCGGGAATTCGGGCACGGGCGTTTTTTCGAGACGGCGTTTCAACGCGGTCTGAGATTCTTGTTTCTGCGAGGACTGCGGACAAAGAAAAAAAAAAAATTACACATACAAGAAAAACACACGCATTACATTTACTCATGTGATACATATACATATATGTGTGTGTATATAGATTAACGTGCAATAAACGACACGGGTTCCGTTAAGCGTTAAATGTTAATAGGTCACCGTCGTCGTCGAGAACGGGACGCGAACGATCGAAATGTCAGACGCCGTTCGCGTATCACCATTTATTATAAACACCGGTATCACGTTACGGCGGCGAAAAGAGAGAAACGAAAACCACGTAGAGGAGCTTTGATTTTTTTTAATTTTTTTTTTAATTTTTTAAACATAACTTCTGTAACAATCGCACCCATTCTCTCTACTCCATTCGATTGGCTCCGGCCATTAAAACCGTACCGCTAAACACAAAACCTGCCATCCGTTCTCTGCACCTTCTTCTCTCCGTTGGGTCTCCCCACGTGCACCGCCTCAATGTCTTTTTTCACACAGTCTTCCCGTCTTAAACTCGGTGGTTTCTTTATAGGCCGTTTATCTACATTACGTATATATATATATAGGATCTACCTAGATCGGTTGCTTAACTAAAGATCCACGTTTACGTGCCATGCCCACATCGGTGTTCTTTTAACGGTCTCTTTAACTCGGGCCTTTGACACCGAATTCGAAATTCATCATTGTATTATAATCTCATCCAGCCATCGGTTCGGACATCAAACATATTATACGTATATCGCTACAATAATACCAGTTGACGAGCGGCCGAGGACGTGACGCGACGCGGTCGTGGCCATTATTCATAATCTTTTCGACAATGCAATGATCTATGGCGAAAGGAATCCGCCGCGAAGGAGAGTGTCGCGGTTGACGGCGATTATAAATCATCGCTCAGCGAAATTATTTTCGATGGGGAGAAAAACGCGGAACGGCAGAGAAGAATGATACACCTCTGGTCCCTTTTTTCCCACAAAACACAAATAACTCATTCATTCGCAAATAGGTTATTACGGTCACAGTGGCGTATTTTCGGAGAGGTAGACGACGATAGTGTTTTGCCCTATCATCACCCCTCCCGAACACACAATTTTTGCAAACAAATACCGACTCAATGTAAATTATCCATATCATTATAAATATAATAGTGACGCGTGACATGCATCCGGATTTTCGAATCCGAAATTAAAATTTCAAAATCCAAAATGTGGATCGAAACAAAAAATTCTGGATACTAGAACTATTTGGAATATCGCACTAACACATAATATACAAGAGCAACTAACTCTACATCGAATAGCCCATTTTTC